TTGATGCATTAAAGGTACCTTTATTTAGCAAAAAAAGGGACCTTACATATATTACTCTACGTCACAACTATTAGGGACTTCAATTCAGTTAAAAACAAGTTGAATATCTAGTATTAGGGGTGGAACGGATCCGAATATAGAATTTTAAGATATTATAATCCGAATCTGCTGGATTTGTATCACAACTATCCAGATCCATAGCTTATGAGTATGCAAACTTTGTTTTTTTTTTTATAAATATTATACGAAACGGATTTCGAATCAGATCCAAAAATCAAGATTATAATTTCACCCATATCTAATTTTACGTTTTGTAAATCTTGAAAGAAAAAAAAAAGCCGCTAGGAAATAACTACAATGGACAAATGTGCAAATTCCAATTCCTAGAAGAATATATAAAATGATGATCTTCGAGAACAAATTATAACACCCAGAAACTATTGAATCTAGAAAATGAGTTTACTGGTAAAAAACTAAAAATACAACGTTGTCTTAATTTTTAATTATTTAAGCCGTTTAAAACCAAGTTATTCTATGATCCTTTTTTTTTAAGAAGCAATGATTCCAATAAAAACAGAGCAAACTTTAGTTACATAAAATTATATACTTTGAGTGCTGAAAATTGTTAGTTTCAACATATATATTTTCAGCCGTACCAAAAAAAAAACATATATATTTTCAAAAAACATTTGCAATTGTCATTTTGGAATGCTTTAATTTTAAAATTCCAGTTTTCAAATATATAAATATATTTATGCAAAACACCAATACATATCCAAGTTCGAGTCTCATCAACCATTGCAACTAGAGAGAGTAAAGTCTAATAGGTTTGAACTTTTTAATTATTTTGATATAGGAATCAGAAAAACCTTAAACAACCATCATCGATCATTTAGTTATGTATATGAATGTATACAAGTATAAGATCATTACTTGTAAACTAAAAATACTTTGTCTCAATCACTATTTTTTTTGCCATAAATTTGGTCTCAATCACTTCATGAGAACATTACCAATACCGTCAAACTTTTTTCACTATAAAACCCCTACTTCAAACTCTTTTGGAGTAATCAAATTAGTATCAAAGTCTTTCTACTTTTCTAAAAACAATGGCTTTTAAACATATTCAACTTTTTTTCATAGTTTCATCATTCTGTTTATCAATCACTCTTTCTCGTCCTCTTGATGATGAACTCATCATGCAAAAGAGGCACGACGAGTGGATGGCTAAACATGGCCGTGTTTACGCGGATGTGAAAGAGAAAAACAATCGCTACGTTGTGTTCAAACAAAACGTCGAACGCATTGAACGCTTAAATAACGTTCCCGCGGGAAGAACGTTTAAACTTGGAGTTAATCAGTTTGCTGATCTAACAAACGACGAATTTCGTTCTATGTACACTGGTTACAAAGGAGACTTCGCCGTGTCTAGCCAAAGCCGAACTAAAACGATGTCGTATAGGTACGAAAACGTTTCTTCTGGCGCTTTGCCTGTTTCTGTTGATTGGAGGAAGAAAGGAGCTGTGACACCTATCAAGAATCAAGGCAGTTGCGGTAATAGTTCAAATTTTTATTTTCATGTATATCTATAAACTAAACCGAACTCAATTGAACCGTAACTTTTAAATTGAAACGGAACAGAAACCAATTTGAGTGTAGGTAAACCGAAAAAAGAAACCAATTTTATTGAGATGAATATATGCATGAAAAAAAATAAAATAAAAATGCATGAATATATGATAGTTAAAATGTTTGCGTTATCTGATAGTGAAACTATTTGCGTGTGTTGTGTAGGATGTTGTTGGGCGTTTTCAGCGGTTGCGGCTATAGAAGGAGCAACACAAATAAAGAAAGGGAAACTTATCTCTTTGTCTGAACAACAGCTTGTCGATTGCGATACTAACGATTTCGGCTGCGGCGGCGGTTTGATGGATACCGCATTTGAGCATATAATCGCGACTGGCGGTTTAACTACTGAATCAAATTACCCTTACAAAGGCCAAGACGGTACATGCAACTCCAAGAAGACCAACCCAAAAGCAACTTCTATCTCAGGTTTTACTAGTTAATTCCCTAAAAAAGACATTAAAAGTCGAAATACAGAGGAAAATCGAACTAAACCTCAA